CTTACGACCACTCGACTTACGACCGTGTTTTTTTTTGCCAAATTTCTGGGAAATAAGCAACTATTTGTGTTGTACACAGTGTTTATCCTAAACCTTACAGTATAAAATACAGTACTAACAGCATAAAAAGTAAAGTAAAACATGAAATACCTAAATAAAACAATAAAATAAAGTCATTACAAAAATGTGATGTTGATATTCAGTAGTAAAGTTCGACTTGCGTCCATTTCGACTTACGACCGGTTTCTCGGAACCGAACTCGGTCGTAAGTCGGATGGTAGGTGTATTTGCTTCTCGTTGTGTATATTGCGACCGCTAGTAACTACAGGTTATATGAAATTCACAGTATACGTCTGGTATTTCAAGAAAAAAGAAACTAATGAAAGTCACTCCACTCCACTAAGTACCATTATAATACTGGTTAGTTGCTACTACAACACTGTATTCTGCTATTCACTGGTATCACTAGATTATATGCGAGTACACTAGCAGGCCAGGAAGATTATTAAAACAGCTGACCAGTGTGGTAAGTTTCTGGCGACTTCTGGCACCTGCCTCTATAGGCTTATCACTTCATTTACAAATTCACCTGTTTTTAAATGACATTTTAGCATTTCTTATCTATATACTAGGGAGCCACTGTAGTATACACTATACACTATGTATACACAATGTTATCAGGGAGATTTTCTTTCCTCTGACAAAGAAAAGTTCTATTATTATTATTTTGCACACGGCACGCTAGACCTATGATTCCCCTCTGGCAGTAAACTCTGCCAGGTAGTGCACACTAATTCTCCTTTTTTGACTCAGTATATAATGTTTTCCGCCCAAGATTGGTTCCAGGCGCTAGAGGGATGTATCGTATAGGATGATGGCACAAATTAAAGTTCTAGCACGTAAGAGCGACCGTGAAAACACTGACCTAATTTTCTTGAAATACCCCAGCATAACAAGCGGCTTTCTATACAATAGTATGTCACTGATGTCAGCTATGTCTGTATATCTTGTACATGTACGTGTAGTAAATATATTACAGTGGACCCCCGCATAGCGACCTTAATCCGTGCAAGAGGGCTGGTTGTTATGCGAAATTTCGGTATGCGAATGAATTTTCCCCATAAGAAATAATGGAAATCAAATTAATCCGTGCAAGACACCCAAAAGTATGAAAAAAAAATTTTTACCACATGAAATATACATTTTCCTACACACAAAGAGAAGGATACATGCACAATAGTAGAGTAGTACATGCACAATATATATTGTGCATGTACTACTCTACTAAATGAAGAATAAATGACACTTACCTTTATTGAAGATGCACCAATGACTGATGAGACACTGTGTCCTGGGAGTGCCTTTTCCTCCTGAGTACTGTAGGTCCTGTTTGGCATTTTCTTCCAGAACAGGCCTTATCACACTGTGTATGCCACTACGATTCTTAAATCTCTCAAACCAACCTTTGCTGGCTTTAAATTCACCAATATGAGCACTAGTTCCAGGCATTTTTCCCTGTTCACCTGGGTGTTAGTCGACTGGTGTGGGTTGCATCCTGGGAGACAAGATTAAGGACCCCAATGGAAATAAGTTAGAGTCCTCGATGATGCACTGACTTTCTTGGGTTATCCTGGGTGGCTAACCCTCCGGGGTTAATTGTTTCTTGGTAATTGTTTCACGTTAAGCCACACCAACAACACTCTCTCCACATCTTCGAGTAATACAGCTGATGGTGGTGCAGCAACAACAACAGCTGTGGTGCAGCAGCAGCTGGTGCAGCTGCAGCTGTGGTGCAGCAGCAGCTGTGGTGCAGCAGCAGCTGACTGTGGTACGATAGTATTTATCACCCTTTTTACCACAGGGTTGGCACTAGAAGCTTTCTTTGGGCCCATGGTGGCTTATTTAGCAGTTACAAGCACTATAAATAATGGAATAATACAAAATGTATCGAATGTATGCATGCAACCGGCCACCCTGGCTTGTAAACACTGACGGCAAGGCAGGCGCTCAGGCTGGACGGACAGGTTCGGGACAGGTTCAGGACGAGTCATGTTCAGACAGCTGATGGTGCAACAGCAGCTGACCGTGGTGCAGCAGCAGCTGACTGGTCCAGCAACAGCTGACTGATCCAGCAACAGCTGACTGGTCCAGCAACAGCTGACTGATCCAGCAACAGCTGACTGGTCCAGCAACAGCTGACTGATCCAGCAACAGATGACTGGTCCAGCAACAGCTGACTGATCCAGCAACAGGTGACTGATCCAGCAACAGCTGACTGGTCCAGCAACAGCTGACTGATCCAGCAACAGCTGACTGGTCCAGCAATAGCTGACTGATCCAGCAACAGCTGACTGATCTAGCAACAGCTGACTGATCCAGCAACAGCGATTCTTAAATCTCTCAAACCAACCTTTGCTGGCTTTAAATTCACCAATATGAGCACTAGTTCCAGGCGTTTTTTCCTGTTCACCTGGGTGTTAGTCGACTGGTGTGGGTTGCATCCTGGGAGACAAGATTAAGGACCCCAATGGAAATAAGTTAGTCTTCGATGACACTGACTTTTTTGGGTTATCCTGGGTGGCAAATCCCTGGGGTTAATTGTTTCTTGGTATTCTCAATAAGCCACACCAACAACGGTGCTACAGCAGCAGCAGCAGCTGACGGTGGTACAGCAGCAACAGACGATGCTACAGCAGCAACAGACGATGCTACAGCAGCAGCAGACGATGCTACAGCAGCAGCAGATGATGCTACAGCAGCAGCAGACGATGCTACAGCAGCAGCAGACGGTACTACAGCAGCAGCAGCAGCTGACGGTGGTACAACAGCAGCAGCAGCTGACGGTGGTACAGCAGCAACAGACGATGCTACAGCAGCAACAGATGATGCCACAGCAGCAGCAGACGATGCTACAGCAGCAACAGACGATGCTACAGCAGCAGCAGACGATGCTACAGCAGCAGCAGACGATGCTACAGCAGCAGCAGACGATGCTACAGCAGCAGCAGACGATGCTACAGCAGCAGCAGACGGTACTATAGCAGCAGCAGCAGCAGCAGCTGACGGTGGTACAACAGCAGCAGCAGCTGACAGTGCAGCAGCAGCAGTTGTACCACCAATAGTAGCGATGGTTGATTGGGGTTTATTATACAACCTGGCCAGCTCGGAGACACGCACTCCACTTTCATATTTTATCAATGATCTTTTTCTTCATCTCTATAGTAATTCTCACCCTTATTGCTGTAGGGTTGGTACTAGAAGCTTTCTTGGGGCCCATGGTCACTTATTTTCCAGAAAAAATCACCAAAAACACTGTAATAATACGAAATGTTCCGATTGTATGCTTGGATGTTACCGCGGAGGCTGGCTGGTAAACAATGCCACAGGCGGAACATGTGAGCGTGGCTCAGGCCGCACATTGGACGCGTCTCGGACGAAGGGCGGTGAGCGGGTTTTTGGGCGGTATGCGAGGCAAAATTTTTGCGATCAAAGCGTCCGGTATGCGGATTGTACAGTATGCGATGCATACTGTATGCGGGGGTCCACTGTATTATTATTATTATTATTATTATTATATTATTTTCTCAGTTGTTTGTTTGGTTATCTTATTCAAACTTGGGCAATGTATGATGGAAAGATATTTCTTAACGTAGACCAAAAATGAAAGAAATAAGACCATAAATAGCGGAGTTCACTTCTCAGCCATTAGCGGCCGCTTAGCGGTACATTTTTCATTTTTTCATTTTCTCATTTTTTCGGTCTCATTTGATAGAATGAAAGATATATTACAGAAATAGATATGATTTTCATTGCTTTCATGACGAAAAGTACCTAGAAATTGCGCTAACAGTAGCGAAAATGTTCTATTCTTTAGCGACTCTCAAGAGTAAACAAATGACATCACCGTCCAATACCTGTCCGCCTGCCAGTCAAGAATGGGTTGACATTATTTATATAATTATTACAATAATGCAGTAGTCTGCATAACAGTAAATCTTCTATTTTTTTTGTGAATAAAAATGCCAAATGGTAAGCAAGAGGGGCCTGTAGCCATGACTAATGAACAGAGAAAATGTTATTTTAGTGCCAGGAATGTCTGCATTGTTTATTCTGGACCCTATTTTGAAATTGGCATCTGTTGAAATTTGTGTGAAATTGGCCAAATTGCCTCTTAACGTACATTATTATTATAATCAAGGGGGAAGCGCTAAACCCGGAGGATTATACAGCGCCTGGGGGGGGGGATGTGGAAGGCATTCAGGCTTAATTCGGGGAACTGGAGCACAGATCCAATTCCCTAAATCAAGAGCCCCTCACCAACATCAAGGAACCTTCCTTGAGGGGTCTTAACGTTCAACAAAAATAAAAAAGACGGACGATAAATAAGGGAGCTCACTTCTCAGCCATTAGCCGCCTCTTTGCAGTATATTTTCGTATGGTTTTTATGGTTGTATTCTCATTTTTTGGGACTCATTTGATAGAATGGAAGATATATTACAGAAATAGACATGATTTTGATTGCTTTCATGGTGAAAAGTACCTTGAAATTGAGTTGAAAGTAGTGGAAATGTCCGATTTTTGCTGATGTTCAATGAACTTTGTGTAAGTCAAGTTGGTTAATTTTATTAAGTGTATTCTAACCTAACCACTCTGTAATCCGGCAAACTCAGTAATCCGGCACACTACAGGTCCCAATGATGCCGGATTTGTGATAGAGAACCTGTATATAATTATTTTTATTAAATGAAAATATTCAATAAATATGTAGAATTGTAGTAAAAGCATATATACTGTACTTTTCATTAGTAAGAAAAGCATAGTGATTTCTTTCAGTCGTATATGTAATCTATGATATGTGTTTTAATTTATTAGGGTAAAACATGATGTTTACAGCATTTTGAAGTGTTATGGCAATGGATGGCTATTTCCAGCAACTAAGATAACTTGTCACAACTGTATTATTATGAAGTGCAATGGTAATCTGTGATCACTACTTTCAGTCGCAAGGGTAACTTGATGGACCACATGGTGCAGATGATGGAGCAGTACAGTAAGAACCTTGAAGAGCTGGTCGCTAACCGAACACAGCAACTTAGAGATGAACAACGCAAGACTAAAGACCTCCTTCACCGAATGTTACCTTCGTTAGTAATCATTATTAAAACTCAAAGCCTTTTTTTTATGTCTAGTTGATTCTCTTACACTGTTTTAATGGCAGCCTTGCACTTCACCTGTGCCAACATTGAGCAGTCAGCTGTTTACAGATAAAAATTTTTTTTTTCTTTGCATGCTGTAAATTATTTACCTGTTTACAGTTACAGGAGTAGTTCAGTGCTAATGGTATCCCATCTAAGTAGTTTGTAATATACTTTTCCAGTCTGTGGCCTGGTGGCAAAAGCTCTCACTTCACATGGTGAGGATCTGGGTTCAGTACCCGGCAAGGGTAGAAACGTTGGGCATGTTTCCTTGCACTGGTTGTCTATGTTCACCCATCAGTAAAATGGGTAACTGGGTGTTAGTTGGTGTGGGTCGCATCTTGGGACAAAACTGACCTAATTTGCCCGAAATGCTCTACATAACAAGCAGCTTTCTATATAGTAGTATGTCATTGATGTCAGCTAGGCCTGTATACCTTGTACATGTACTTGTAGAAATACTTTTTTTTTTTTCAACAATTCGGCCATCTCCCACCGAGGCAGGGTGACCCAAAAAAGAAAGAAAATCCTCAAAAAGAAAATACTTTTATCATCATTCAACACTTTCACCTCACTCACACATAATCACTGTTTTTGCAGAGGTGATCAGAATACAACAGTTTAGAAGCATATACTTATAAAGATACACAACATATCTCTCCAAACTGCCAATATCCCAAACCCCTCCTTTAAAGTGCAGGCATTGTACTTCCCATTTCCAGGACTCAAGTCCGGCTATATAAAAATAACCAGTTTCCCTGAATCCCTTCACTAAATATTACCCTGCTTACACTCCAACAGCTCATCAGGTCCCAAATACCATTTGTCTCCATTCTTCCATTCTCCATTCACTCCATTCACTTGACGAGGGAGAAAAAGGTGAGTGGTGCACTGAGGAGTCTGTGGAGACAAAGAACTTTATCCATGAAAGCAAAGAGGGAAATGTATGAGAATATAGTTATACTAATGCTCTTGTATGGGTGTGAGGCATGGGTTGTGAATGTTACAACAAGGAGAAGGCAATGTGTGGTGTGAATATAATGCAGATAATCCGTAGTTTAGAGATTAGGAGGTGTGGGATTACCAAAACTATTATTCAGAGGGCTGAGAAAGGGTTATTGAGATGGTTTGGACATGTCAATTGGATGGAACGAATTAGAATGACTTCGAGAGTGTATTAATCTGTATTGGAGGGAAGGCCAGGTTGGGGTCGGCCTAGGAAAGGTTGGAGGGAGGGGCTAAAGGAGGTTTTGTGTGCAAGGGGCTTGGACTTCCAGCAAGCGTGCATGAGCACGTTAGATAGGAGCAAATGGAGACAAATGGATTTTAGGACTTGACGTGTTGTTGGAGTGGGAGATGGGAAGTACAGTGCCGGCACTCTGAAGGAGGGATGTTAATGTTGCAATTTTATAACTGTAGTGTAAGCATGCCTCTGACAAGACAGTGATGGAGTGAATGATGATGAAAGTTTTTCTTCTTTAGACCACCCTGCTTTGGTGGGAAATGGCCGATGTGTTAATAAAAAAAAATCTTGGTAAGGGGCATACATTATGCATGGAAAACTGGTATACAAACCCCTTATTCAGCAGTATCTTGCATGAACATGACAGATGTGTGTGGTACACTGCATGGACCATAAATATATTCACAGGTCCAGTGCAAGGATTGGTACCAGTGAGGTGCAAGTGCTTCATACCAGATGTCATTGGTAAGAGAAGTGAATTAACCAGCATGAAATAAAAGACACAGAAAAAGGTGACTAGAGAGACTAATAAACCCATTCTTAAACCTGCTGTTGTCATGGATTACACCACCAATGTGTATTTGGTGGACAAATGTCATATGCAGATTGGGTTTGCTGATTGTATCCACAAGAGTTATAGGTGGTACATGAAACTCTTCTTCCATCTTGTGGACACTGCAATGCTCAATACATACAGTATGTACCAGGTCAGAATCAGCAACAGACCACCATATGTCCTTGACATATACACTAGTATTTTTGGCTTTTGAATACTCTAATTATAATGGCACCTTTATAATTATGTTATTCAACAGTGTATTTGAATGATAATTCTCTTTGCAGGTCTGTAGCAGCAAGTTTAACACAGGGCATTGCTGTAGAGCCCCAGGGTTTTGATTCTGTCACCATATACTTCAGTGACATTGTTGGATTTACTTCTTTGTCTGCAGAGAGCACCCCATATCAGGTTAGTTCTCTTTAACATTGTAACATTAATTTTAAAACTTACATTGTACAGTATATATATTAGGTGTGAAAGAGAATTAAATGTAAACTGTAGTTTTAATTTGGTAGATAATAAAAAACATCAATTCAAAATGTTAATAAAATTTAGTTATAGATTAATTAAAATTTATTAAAATGATAAAGAAAAATTTAAATGCAGTATTACAGCAGCAGTTACTGTATATGCTGACATATAAGTCGACCCCTAAAATTTTGACGTGTTAATTCAGGTTTAGGACTGTATCTTCCCAATAGGTTGACCCCTCCCCTCCAAAAAAGGGCAGCAGCACTTCCATCAGACTGTCAAGTTGAGAGGTCATGAGTGGACTGACATGGACAAATTAGGAATATTAGGAAATAGTGCATCTTATTTCCTCCAACTTTAATTTGTTCTAGTTTTTGGCATTTTTAGGTATTATTTTTAATAAAATGTGACATTTTTATTAAAAGTATGTGTCTGGGCAACAAAAATAAAATGGGGAGAAGTAGCAAATTCAACTTGCAACTGTGGTACAAGTTATAGTACTAAAATGATTGCATCATTAGGCTAGTGGTAATGTACAGTGGAACCTTGGTTTCGTTTGCCTGGTTTTCTTCGAATTTCATTTTTGACAACTCTTTTCGTCAAAATGTTGTCCCAGTTTTCATTTATCACCTTAGTTTTCATTCTCAATACCAAATGTGTCCATGCACCTGCGCCCACACAAAGCATCCCACGCACACATTCTGAGTCAGTCTGGCTTTGTTTCTTGTTGAGTGAACACCACCCTGCACATTCATACGAAACATTTCGTAATAATTTATTGTTTTTTGTGCTTGTGTATTGAATGCGACTACTAAATAAGCCACCATGAGGCCAAAGAAAGTTCCAAGTGCCAGCCCTTTGATAAAGAATGTGAGAAACATGATAGAATTCAAGAAAGAACTTCTAGAAAAGTATGAAACTGGTGTACTTGTGGTCAATCTTGCCAGGATGTATGGAAAGTCCTCATCAACAATCAGTTCCATCCTAGTGAAGAAAAAAGAAATCAAGGAATCTTAATGTGCTAACGAAATAGAGATGACAAACAATTGAAGATGTTGAGAAGTTGTTGGTGAGAAGTTGTTGTTGCAGGAGATAGTGTTGTGGAGGCGATAATTTGTGAAAAGGCAAGGCAGTTGCATGTGAATCTCGTAAAGAATATACCTGGAACAAGTGCTGCTGTTAGTGAATTTAAGGCCAGCAGAGGCTGGTTCGACAACTTCAAGAAGCAGTCTGGCATACACAGTGTGTTAAGATATGGGGAGGCTTCAAGTTTGGACAAATGTGTGGCCGAAGAATTCGTTGGTGAATTCAAGGAGTACGTAGAGGCTGAAGGATTCCTCCTCCAACAAGTCTTCAATTGTGATGAAACAGGCCTCTTTTGGAAGAAAATGCCAAAGAGGACCTACATCAGGCAGGAGGAAAAGGCACTGCCAGGGCACAAGCCTATGAAGGATAGGCTAACTCTTTTGTCCTGTGGTAATGCTAGTGGGGATTTCAAAGTGAAACCTTTACTGGTGTATCACTATGAAAATCCCTGAATGTTCAAGAAAAACTGCCATCAAGATAAATGAACATGTAAATCAGTTTTACTTTTATTGAAGACTCTTGTTGGCGTATGGAAGATGGCGAGGAGGGGAGAGGGAGGAGAGTTTATTGTTTGGAAGGGGAATCTCCTTCCATAAGGACTTCAGGTATCAAATCCCTACCCGGGGTTACTTCCCTTGTTTGTCTTTTACTGGCACTAGGACCAGCTTGAGAGTCACTGTACCCCTGTTGCACAAAAAAATCTGTCCAGAGAGGTCTGTTTCTGGTGTCTCTTTAAGATTTGCCTAAAATGGGACATGGCATTGTCATTGAACATGTTGCAGATGTGGCTTGCAACAGCTTTGTTAGGGTGATATTTCTTCACTTTGCACCTCACTCCACTTTGCACAAATGTCCTTATCACTGAAGGAGGCACATTCTCACAATGCTCACTCAGTGAGAAGCAAAGCCAGACTGAGTCAGAATGCTTGGAATGATTTGTGTGGGTGTAGGCAGGCAGATGCGTTTGGTACGGCAGACCATTGTCAACTCTATGAAAACCGAGTGGATGTACGAAAACTGGGACAAAATTTCAATGAAAAAAGTCATCAAAAACTGAATCCTATGAAAACCAGGACATACAAAAACTGAGGTTCCACTGTAGTTGGAGTTCTAACAGTAGCAATCAAGAACCACAACTTAGTCACTGTGGTTAATTTGATCAATTCAAAAGTCTCTGATGTTATCCTAACACTACATGACTTCAAAAAGGCAATAAATGACATGCCTGTGCACTCTTCCCCAGGCCCAGACTCGTAGAACTCCATGTTCATCTAGAACTGCAAGAAGCCCCTTTCACGTGCCTTCAGCATTCTATGGAGAGGGAGCATGGACATAGGGGTCACTCCACAGTCACTAAAAACAACAGACATAATCCCACTCCACAAAGAAGGCAGTTAAGCAATTGCAAAAAATTATAGACCAATAGTGCTAATGTCCTATATCATAAAAATCTTTGAAAGGGAGTCTAAGAAGCAAGATTGCCACCCATCTAGATACCCATCAGTTACACAACCCAGGGCAACATGGGTTTAGAGCAAGCTGCTCCTCCCTGTCGCAACTACTGGACCACTATAACAAGATCTTGGATGCTCTGGAGGACAAAATGCAGATGTAGTATACACAGACTTTGCAACAACCTTCAACAAGTGCAACTATGGTGGATTAACATGCAAAATGAGTGATAAAGAAATAACTGGAAAAATTGGTAGATGGATCTATAACTTCCTAATAAATAGAACACAAAGAGTAATAGTAAACAGAGTAAAGTCTGAGGCAGCCACATTGAAGAGCTCTGTTCCTCAAGGCACAGTACTTGCTCCCATCCTGTTCCTCATCCTTATATCTGACAGAGATGTAAGCCACAACACTGCGTCTTCCTTTGTGGATGACAACGGAATTTGCATGACGGTGACCTCCATGGAAGACACTGCGAGACTCCAAGCAGACGTCAACCAAATCTTTAAATGGGCCACAGAAAACAATGTGAAGTTCAGTTAAGAGAAATTTCAATTACTATGATGTGGAAAACTTGGGGAAATTAAAACTATATCGGAGTATAAAACAAATTCCAGCCATACAGTAGAGCAAAAAGCTATTGTGAAGGACCTGGGAGTGATAATGTCAGAGGATCTCACTTTCAAAGATCATAACAATATATCTATCATATCTGCTAGAAAAATGATAGGATGGATAATGAGAACCTTCAAACTTGGGATGCCAAGCCCATGATGATTCTCTTCAAATCACTTGTTCTATCTAGGCTGGAATATTGCTGTATACTGATGGCCCCTTTTAAGGCGGGTGATATTGCTGACCTGGAGAATGTACAAAGAACCTTCATGGCACACATAAGTACGATAAAGCACCTAAATTACTAAGAATGGTTAAAGTCCCTTGACTTGTATCCCCTGGAATGCAGGCAAGAAAGATGCATGATAATATACACTTGGAAAATCCTAGAGGGATTAGTACCAAATTTGCACATGAAAATTATTCCCTACAAAAGCAGAAGACTTGGCAGGAGATGCAACATCCCCCCAATGAAAAGCAGGGACACAGTGAGTATGCTAAGAGATAACACAATAAGCATCAGGGGCCCAAGATTGTTCAGTTACCTCTCAGCATACGTAAAGGGGATTACCAATAGACTCCTGGTTGTCTTCAAGAAGGTACAGGACAGGTACCTAAAGTCAGTACCTAACCAGCCAGGCTGTGGTTTGTACATTGGTTTGTGTGCAGCCAGCAGTAAAAGCCTCGTTAATCAGGCCCTGATCCACTGTGAGGCCTGATTACAGACCAGGCCATGGGGGCGTTGATCCCTGAAACCCTCTCCAGGTGTATTCCAGGTATTATGCACACTGTAAGTAAAAGAGGCGGGACCCTTTGCAGCCTGTCATCTGCTTCACTGCCACCGACCACCAAAACAAACATGGCTATTTGTCATTCACAGATGGCTACCTTATAATTATTTACAACTGCTGAAGCTGGTTTGCTTATTATGTACTGGTAATATGTAAATTATTATAGTAGTTACTAATCACTAAAGTAATCTGGGAAACAGTTTTGTAGAGAAGGGTTGTTGGGAGTCTAGTAGTTTAAAAGTACTACTAGTCAGTAACCTGAAGTCTACCCTTGTTTCTCAACTAGAGCATATAATGTCCCCAGGGTGATCATCTGATTTTTTTTGGGGGGAGAGGGGGGAGAAGAAGCATGCCTTATATGCCAGAAAATATGTACTTTATTTCTACATGATACAGTACATAGATTTTACAAAACTGGATTATATTTAATACTATACATTGAAAGCCCCTGGGTATTTTGGGTATGCCCTTTTAGAACTATAATATTCATTATATTTTCCCTCTCATTTGGTTTATAATTGTTTTTGTGACTTGCTCCACTTTCTCTACATATCCCACAATAATGTTTTTAATTATAATGTGTAATACCTTATTTTATTGGATGTCCTGCATTTCCGTTTATTTTCACTCAAGTACTTACACATGACATTGTATTTAATAGGTGGTAAGATTCCTGAATGACTTGTACACACTGTTTGACAAGATCATCCGTGGCTATGATGTTTACAAAGTGGAGACCATTGGTGATGCATATATGGTTGTATCAGGCCTTCCCAAGCTTAATATGGGAAGACACGCTGGAGAGATTGCTTCTATGGCACTGGAGCTACTGGATGGAGTGAGTGATTCATTTCTCTTAGTATTTTGATAGGAAAATATAAAGTCAAAGTAGGTTTTAGACAGGGATGTGTAATGTCACTATGGTTGTTTAATATACAATACAGTACAATACCATTTTTATTTCTTTGCAAGTTTACATTGAGATTCTGTAGTTACAGTAATGAGTTACAGTGCAAAGAGAGCCACTATCATGCCATGGCATTATGAGCAGACTAAATTAATGGCTTACAGACTACTAAATACTAGAGAAATTGATCATAGTAAGTTACAGTCAAGTTATAATCTGGGGATATTACATTGGGACAATTTGAAAGTATTTTGTAGGTTGTGTATATCAGTAGTAAATATTTAAGTTATTTTATTGGAATATAATATTGAGTGTTGGTGAAAGTAGTTTACAGTATGAGAATGCTACAAAATGGTGTAAGGCAGTATAGTTTTGTGCAGGTATTTATTCTTCAGGTAAGTATTAAGTTGTGTATGAACTTTGGGTATTTAAATTTTGAAATGTTAAGATTTAGGTAATTGGGAGGTTTTTTGGTAAATTTAAGTATTGAGTATTGTACATTTAGTTTAGGGTGAGTAGATGGTTATTGAGAAGAGTTTTAAATTGATGTTCAGATTGGGTTACTTTAGTATTTACTGTTAATGAGTTCCAAATTTTGGGGCCCTTTATGTACATACAGTTCTTACATAGTGTGATGTGGACACGGGGAACATCGAAAAGTGATCTGTGTCTTGTGTTATGGTTGTGCATCTTAGGTTGGTGAGGAGAAGTTTGAGTGAAGGATTTATGTGTGAGTGTAGTGTTCTATGTATGTAGTAGCCGCAAGAATAAGTATGGATGTTCTTTACGGTGAGTAGTTTTAGACCTTTGAATATTGGTGGAGTATGCTGTCTGGAGTGGGAATTTATCATTCTGACTGCAGCCTTTTGTTGGGTTATTAGTGGTTTTAGGCACAAATTCCATAGGTGAAATAAGGATATGTGAGTGAGTAATACAGTGCAAGGAGAGCTGATTGTAGAACATAGTACTGTATCTTTGATAGTATGCCTACTGTCTTAGAAATTTTCTTGGAGATTTATTGTATATGGGTCTGGAATTTAAGGCTACTGTCAAGGTGGATTCCTAAGAATTTTTTTTCTTTGTATCTTGTGATGGGTGATCCATTTAGCACTATGTTAAGTGGAACAATTGTGGCTCTTACCAAACTGAATGAAATAGGTTTTGCCAGTATTGAATGTAAGCTTGTTAGTCATCATCCAGGTAGATATTTTCTGCAATTCAGCATTAACAGTGTTGGCCAGTATGACTGGGTTTGGGTGAGAGAAGATGTATGTTGTGTCATCGGCAAATAATATGGGTTTGAGTAGTTGAGATGCATTCAGTAGGTCACTGATGTAAATGAGAAAGAGGAGGGGGCCAAGGACACTTCCTTGTGGGACCCCAACTGTAACTGGTTGTGTGGAAGAGTTAGCTCCATTTGTGTACACATATTGGATTCTGTTACTAAGGTATGACTTTAGGTAGTTGAGGGAGTGCCCTCTTATACCATAGTATGTTAATTTAATGTGCAGCAGATCATGGTCATCTGCATCAAAGGCTTTACGTAAATCAATAAAGATTCCCAACAGGACTTCTTTCTTCTCGAGAGCAGCGTATATTAGTTCTATCATGTGTATAATAGCTTCATTTGTGCTTTTATTAGCCCTGAATCCAAACTGATAGGGGTTGAGTATGTCTTGAGAGATGAGACAGGAATAGATCTGCCTATTAATTAGTTTTTCAAAGATTTTAGAGAGCAGAGGTAAGTTAGATATTGGTCTATAGTTATTCAAGTCTGTTTGATCTCCTCTTTTGCAAATCAGAGTGACCCTTGCTATTTTGAAAACTGATGGCAAGGTGGAGTACTTGGTGACAGTACTTGAGAAGCCTTGTTTTATGGGTATTGATGATTACCGAGACTTTTGTTGGAGTGGTTGGAGCTAGGAATAGTGTATTTGGGTAGGTACCCGTGATTTAGTCTGATGGATAGATGTTTGAGCTTGGGATTTTGCTCATTAGATTCTTTCCTATGGTGGAGAAGAAAACATTCAGTCTATTTGCTATTTCAGTTGGTGGGAGTAGGGGTTCATCTGATTTTGTTAATTTGAGTGTTTTGTTTTTGATATCTTTTTAGTTCCTAAAATTTCAGATAGGGTTTTCCAGTTCTTTTTCATATCACCTTTTATGTAATGTGATCATAATACAATTTTTTTGACCTTCGTATCAGGCTGGTAAGGACTGACGAGTAATGTTTAGAATGGTCTCTGGTTATTTGGCCCATTCTATACTGTTTTTAACCCTTTGACTGTTTCAGGCCCCTTTCTGAAACTGTCATTCTATGTCGCTAAATTTTTGAAAAAAAAAAAAAAAAAATTATTTTTTCTTATGAAATGATAGAGAATCTTTTCCCGATGGTAATGACACCAAAAGTTTGAAATTTGGTCGAAAACTCATGGAATTACGCTCCCGTGAAGTTATCGGTCTTGGCGACATATGCGTATCGGCAATTTCGCCGACTTTGAGCCCTATTTTCAGCCAATTCCATTGTTCCAGTTGACCAAACTCATAGCTATTTCTTTAGAACTCCATTTTATCTATCAGCTGAGTACAAGAAACCTCCCATTTACCAATTTGGACTACCCAATATTGTGGTCAGAAATTGGCAATTTGACCAATTTCATGCAAACTAAAAAAGATGCCAATTTCAAAATAGGGTCCAGAATAAACAAGGTAGACATTCTTGGCACTAAAATAACATATGCTCTGTTCATTAGTCACATCTCTAGGCCCCTCTTATATTATTATTGTTCTATTTTGATTTTTTATTCATACAAAAAAATACAAAATTTACTGTTATGCAGACTACTGCATTATTGTAAAAATGGTATAAATAATATCAGTGCACTAGTGAAAGAATATTAGACTCCCCAGTTGACGTGTATTGGACGTGTGGTGTGATTTGTTTACTCCTGAACATTGGTAAAAATCGAACATTTCTGCTACTTTGAGCTCAGTTTCAAGGACGTTTTCATCATCAAAGTAATGAAAATCATCTCTATTTCTGTAATATGTTTTCCATTTTATCACCTAAGACCATGAAAACGCAAATACATCGATAAATACTATACGAAAATACACCTCAAAGTCCGCGTTTTAATCCAAAAAAACGATCAGTTTTTTTTTTCTCATTACGCACTGTGTGCTGCAGGATTTTTTTTATGTGGTGCACACTGACCATACAGACCCATTCTCTCATATGTGGGCCTACCAGCTTTCTTCCGCTTGATTTGAAGCCGCTAGAATTATTGAGTATATATATGTCTGAAACACTGGCTCGTAAGACGTATATATACGACCAAAACAGTCAAAGGGTTAATATAGGTGCTTTGTGTTTATGGATTTAACCCTTAAACTGTCCAAACAGATCTATGTTCACATGCGTAGTGCTCCAAAAGTAGATCTACGTTTTTTTTACATATTTTCAAATATAACAAAAAAAAAAAATGTAGATCAAAGTTTTTTTTACACGTTTTCAAATGTAAAAAAAAAAAGATCTACTTTTTTTTACATACTTTCAAATGTTGAAAAAACATAGAACTACGTTTGGACAGTTTAAGGGTTAAGGAGGCTGGCTGTTAGCCAGGGACTGTTTAATCTCGTAGCTGTGATCTGTTTAGTTTTTGGGGGGCAATGCTTGTTATAGAGGTAACAGGTTATTTTTAGAAAATTATTAATACATTCATCAGTATCTGTATATGTTTCTAGCTCATTATTCCAGTCAATGTTAATCATAGCTGTTATAAAGTTATTAACTGATGTCTCATTATGTAGCCTGAAGGTAACTTTAGTAGCGTCTTGTAGCAATTTACCTAGGTTGGTTATGAGAAAGGTAGAGTAGTGGTCTGTGGTATTGTCTGTGATTATGCCTGATTTTAAAGGGGATATGGTGTTAGTCCAGATATGGTTTAATAAGGAGACACTGGTCTCGGAGATTCTTGTGGGTTTTGTTATTGTTGGTAGCAACAAGTAGTTGCTCATAGTGTTTGCTAATTCAGTTACTTGTGGGTCCTGGTCATGTAGGAGATTTATGTTAAAATCTCCTGTGAGCAGTAAGTGGTCTTTATTCATGTGTGCATCAGTTATCATGCTTCCTATGACTGTGGTACTCTGTAGATGTTTATGACTGTAAGGGTTTTTTCCAAGTCGTTTGATTTAAATTTAGCTATTATATATTCTCCATGTTTGTCCCTTGTGCAAGAATTTTTGATACATTCAAGTTGATCTGAGTAGTATATAACTGTTCCACCCTCTTGCTGGTCTGTCCTACATTTGTGTATGGCTTGGTAACCAGGAATGGCATAGACATCTGAAGTACCGGGCTTTAGCCAGGTTTCAGTGAGTGTGATATTGTCATACTGGTATGCAGGGAATTGAGAAATGCTGTGAGGTCATCATAATGTTTGCTCAAAGATCTGACATTGTAATTAAAGATAGTTATATTATTGTTGGTTCTGAGTAATGTCTTTGCTTGGTCTGATGTATAATAATTACAGTTGCTGTTTGATGCATGTAAGTCATTTAATAAAAGGTTGATATCAGGATCAATGCTTGCAATCACATGATGGTGTGTGATTCTACAACTAGACTTTTGAGTAAAGTATTATGTTGGCCTTAATATTATGACACTAAACTTATCTAGCTAAGGATTGTTTCAAGTAGCTTTTAAAGCAAAAAAAAAAAAACAAAAAAAAAATTTTTAAGAGATACTGTTAGCTCTTAATATGGTACAGTATTGTGATTTAATATTGAACTGTTGTATTAATACTGAACACAATTATATTGATCTGTACTGGAAGTTATAATTAAAATTAATAGTCTGTTGGTAATTAACCCCTTCAGGGTCCAAGGCCAAAATCTGAAGTGGTGCTCCAGTGTCCAAGAAATTTTGAAAA